GGTAGCCTTTAGTGTGCGGGTGGCAACATTTAGCACAGTATATGTTTCAGCACACTTTAAATAAGTCACAGATGGGCAGTCGGGCAGAACATTAATTCTATAGTCTCCACAAATTAGAGAGGATCCTCCTGCTCCGACGACTGTCTCTGACTTTGCCCAGACCTTCACCAAAATAGACCTCCGCTAGAAAACTGCTGACAAATTTCCATAATGAAAGTCTGTGTGTTGACTTTCCTCCCCAGCACACCCCTTCAGACGTCGATATTTACACACCAATTACCCACGATGCACACAAATCACAACAAATTACAAGCATTCTTCTAGTTTCTTGTAAAAAATATGCCGGCTTTCGTGGCAGCGCTTATTTCAAAGAGTGCATTTTAATTGTGTTTGCAAACATAATTTCATGCTCTTTTAGTCATCTGTATGTAATAATCAGTGCTGGGCCTCTGCAATTCAATGTGATCCTGTGGTTATTCCCTTTATTGCCGTATGTGCTGTATCCTCCGAGGACCAAAAACAGCGTCGGAATCTCCAGGGAGAGCAAAAAGTGAAATGATACGTTTTCATTTAGAAAGCCAAATGTCATCATCATGTCTCTGTCCCTTTTGCTTTCAGAGCGTCTGGTTGATGTGGTGAGCTGGCAGAGCAAGTAAGAACATGGGAGGGAGACATTTATCATCCTCTAGACTACAGAGCTGTAACTCTGCCTGCTTGGAAATCCTGCGGACAGTCAAAGGAAAGAAAAAAAAAAAACTATGGTGATTGCATTACAAGGATGACATCGTTACAGACCCACTGCTTTGGTGCTGTAGTTTTGGGTGGTAAATTCATAGATGCATCACTTACAAATGAATCTAATAAGAATATGTCATTATGCATCTGTATGTCTTTGAGCCTGTCTAACTTTCCATGCTGTTTGACTCTCTGTCCGTTCACTAAACCGTCACACAGTCAAAACATCACGCTATGACCAGAATTTGAAGTTGTGACTCCGCTTCTCGCATGCCTGTCAAAAAATTACACCCTGCTTGTCAAATAGCGTGACAGGGCACATGTTACAGCGTTGTACATGTTTGCATTCAGCGTGTTACCATGGCAAGTAGATTCTTTTTGAAACTCTAGGCCCTCTTTCCAAAAATTTGATCCTTTGCCAACTTGCCACTCTCTTTCTAAAAGGTTTCTCGCGTATCTTTGCTTTTTTTTTTTTTTCAGGACCTGTCTGAGCGGCCATGTCGCCTGACCTGAGATGCTCTCCTGTTGATTTTTTTTTTTTAGTCGAGCAAAGGCAGGAGTGAGCGAATGACTCATGCGTGGCCGAGATAATTTACAGAAGGCAAAGATAATTTTTTAAAAGTCTTATATCAAACCCAGCAAAGTGTCAAAGACATAAACTGAACTGAAGAACGCTCAATCCCTCCTGTACACATGACAGACAGTGATAAATTGATAGCTGAAGATAGCAGTGCCTGTTCTTGCTTTTTTCTAAAGGAATCTCTGTCACCATTCCACCGCTGCTTGGATTATGAACAGTTATTAATATCATATCCATTAGGATCAAGGAGGCCAAGTCCCCCATCCGTCTCTCCAAGTATCTGTTTAAGCTTCTGGTATCTGAGAATCCTTTCAAGTTTAGAGTCGCAGAGGAACCACTCTCAGGGTCATGGAGGTCAGAGCACTGTACGGTGTTTAAGTCTGGATATCTGCACACTTGTGTGTCCTGACTTTCAATGGAAGTTTGGCATTTACAGTGTCTATAGTCTCTTTTTGTCTCCTTTACACACGAGCTGCAGTTTTTCAGTAATACTGAATAGATGAGGATCAATTAAACGGAGAATTTGTATTTCGGCAAAATGATTAAAGAAACAAATATGTCACTTCCTTCGAGGTAAGATTTACGCAAATAGAAAATTATATCTTCAGCATTCTAATCTATCTTGTCAATATGCTGAGAATACACTGCACACCAGGATGTAAAAACAACAACATTTTGCTAAATAATTATAGTGTCGATCAATGATCTTACTGTAGATATAAATGGTTTCACAACAGGAGGAAAGAAATGAATTTACAGCTAACTGGAAACAATTCGAACACTATCTAAAATACACACAAACTCAGTTCTTATGGTCATTCTGGGATGTAAGAAGTGGCCCCAGTGGCAAATTGTCATGTTGCAACCATGTCAAAACACACTAAACGTTTAAGAAATATTACATGCCCTGTGTAAATAGGAAATATCTATTTAGAAGCAGCCCACCTGCTGCCCCTCCGACACAGAGGGGTCTGCAGAGGACACAGTGGGGGGCATCACTTGTTGCCCTGATTGATGACCATAGGTCCCGCAGGAAGTAACCCCGCCACCATGAAGGAGTGTTTTCTGAACCCCAAGTGGTATCCGGGAAAACATGAGCGACTCCAGTCGGGGAGCGTGTGTTCTCGTAGGCCGTCTTAATGTTTGGATTTACTGAGTCACTTGGGATTTCGCTGCAAACGGGGAAATGAATCAGTAACTAAAAAATAGAGTTCAGAGGCCATGCAAATTCCGCTGTGTCCTAAAACTTGCTACCAAGAGTATGACACCTCACTTGTGTTCCAGACCTATAGATTGAAGGACCTTAGCAGTGTACACTATGAATAAATTCCCATTTTATGGGACCATTTTTCAGACATCTCAGATAGACATGAATTATTATCTGTACAGTATCAAACAGGATCATATGAGACACATTTGATACTGCTATACACCTCTGAGCAAAGACTGGTCATTGTCATACATTAAATATCAAGCTGAAACTATGTAAAGGTATTGTTAATATTTCCATTATTGAACTGTAAAAATTGAATACATTACGAAAAAGAATGCCACTATCTTCATCCGTCTATCATTTTCATTGAACCTATATTTGCATTTTTTCTGATTTACAGATATTTCAGTTAAGGATTATCTCCAACTGTCCCCGTAGCCAGATTGATAATAAAATCACAAAAAATCATCAAGAAAATCCCAATCTCACTATAGAAATGATTCCAAAGATTGACAATATATTTTCAATTGATTTGAAGTTAATTGAAGTGTATTTATTTGGAATAAAGTAGATTTTGTATTCACTCACAACTTTTTTCAATTCCTTTTTACACGTAGGTCATAATATTACGTTCAGGCTTTACTCTCACTCAAGCTTGACAGTAACACTGTGATTCAACATTTTAATGGTATTCTATCAATCGTCACACTTTTTTTTAGACAGCATTGAGAACTTTAAAGTTCTTTCAGTTTTTGCTGATCAGGTTTATTAGTGTTCAGACTAAACAGATGATCAATAACCTAATTGGATGACCCTCTGTTCACCTCAGTAAAATCCCAATCTACCTATTTCTTGATCTTCCATTAAGGTCAACTGCCCATGTGCAATGAAAACTACTGTATACGACTGTGTGGTTTTGTGCTTATTAAAAGGGGAGGAAAACTACATTCATTATATTTTATATAATGAATCATTCTAAGTTACAAAAATAACATCATAAAATATTTTTCTCTCTGATTGCATCTACACTGAAGGCGCTGTTAAAAACCACAGATATGCCCAGTCCAACTCAACCAAACTAAATAGGCCTGTCACCAAACTGTATTTCACACATTCCCCCTGCATCAGTACAGGAGATGCAAAGTCTGTGAAGGATTGAAAATAAATAAAAGTCTTAAGAGCTTGTAGCTGCCCAGAAAGACACATCACAACCATACAAAATAATCTAATTCATCTAATTTAAAAAAAGAAAAAGCTTTTATCAGGTTTATCAAGTTTGAATTTGTGACAAAATCCACTTTTCATTTTATTATTTGGGCTGTTGATATTAATAAGAAAAAAGAATTGTCAATTATTTACTACAATTTGTACGAGTTCTTATGATGAAACAAAATCTTTTCATCTACCCTCACAGATAAACGCAACATGGGAAAAATAGGGACGCGTCAAAATTGTCCAAGATTTAAACGTCCGTTTTCTACCAAAAACAATGAATACAACATTAATATGATATATTATTTGAAAGCCTGTGCATTCTACAAAACGATGTAACTATATATAATATTATAGGTAGTGTAATAACGCAAACTGTCATATAAAACCTCGTCATAGAGAAGAAAAGGGAGATCACAAAACACGCACAGTTCGGTGAGAATTCGAGCTGTGGACGATTTTCGTTAGGACGATGCCATCGAAACAAAAAGTTTAAGAGAAGAGAGAAGCTTTCAGGCCTGATGCCATTTCTACACGGTTACACACATTATCCGCCAGGCTGCATGGATTCAGCTGCTCTCTCCTGCACGATCAGCCCTCACGTTTCCATCATGGCACAGGTATCAATTACAGGTCAGATAGCATCGATAGAGGCACCCAGCATGTACGCATGGAGCACCGTGCAAATGTGGGGAGGTTACACCTGAGCAAAGAAGATTACTTTTTCCCACTTGTCAGATTTATTTTCTGCCATTAAGATTTAAATCCGACTGACAATCGTTTCCACATGAGACTGGCTAAATTTGGTTTATTCACTTAAATTAATGAGTGATCAAAATACGTTTTAGGCCATTTAAAGCTACACAGAGAGCAAAATGTCACTGCAAGTGCCAGGATGGAACCTCCAGTCTGATGAATGTTATATTTCAGTCATGTCCAGTGGAAGAAAGGCAGCTGGAATAGACTAAATTGCAGGTATAAAGGGGATTGGAGTACATTTCCTGTGCCCATGGTGCAGAAATGAAACTGGATGGTTTTGGGTTGAGGCCCTCGCTGTTTGCAACAAAACCCGAGAACAACCTAAAACTTAAATTCCACTTATTCCTCTATATCTTTCAACTTATATCAACATTTCAACACCAACTTCATTTGCAGAATTATGCAGAAATAACTTGCGCTACAAGACCATGTGGCATTTAAGAAAGCCTTTATTTTTTAATATTTACAATGGAATTATAAAAATATATAATTAAAGCTTTGGCAAATATTTTACATTTACACAATTTAGTTCTTTGTTCACATCGTTGAGTCACTGTAGGATCGAGATCATGGCCACATGTGAAATATAATGGCGGGTTACAGAACAGCCCTTGGTTTTGTAATAAAACATCGATGACAGGCTGAAAGGGCGAGAAGTGTATGTTTTTTTTTTTATCTCCATAAGAGAATATAGAGTCTAAAATCATGAAGTATTTCAATGGAGGGAGAAAAAACTATCAACCAATGAGGGGAGACACCGATACATCCATGCAAGCTTACATTCATAAGGCCACGATGGCCGATAAAGCCACAGTATACTGTATTCATAATGCATGTGAATAGGCCTGTGTTTGACTGTGAGTTACAGCACCCAGGGGTGGGGGTGGGGGGTATAGAGTTCAGACTTACTGTTGGAGATTGTTGAAATGAGTTCATTTAAAAGGGTCTGGTAATTAAGGTGGTGTAAGTCCCGGTTATGATGATGAGGTAGGGAGACTGAGTCCATGCACACTGTTCAAGTCTTCATGTTGCTGCTGCTGCTGCTGCTGCTGCTGCTTGCTCAGCGGACTGGGCGGTTTTCTGTCTCCTGCACAACACAGACGAGAAATGTAAGTGCACGAGTCCTGTGCACGCAACTGCACATTATTAACCTCTCAAAAAGCATCTAACGTGATTTTTTTTTCTCTGAAAGGTTTCAGTGCACAAACAGGGTCTTGTTTCCCCTCAATTCCTGTGCGTAAAAATGACATTGGACCACTTGGCACACATGAAGCTGGCCAAGTCTGGAAGATCAATATTTAATAATTGACGTATAATTCGACTTTATTTGGGATTTGGCAAATGTTTACACTCTTCTGCGGAATTGCGTGTTGAACGGGAAAGGAGGAGGGGGAGGGACACCTCAGTCTGGCTCTAGGTCGATATGATAAAATACTAAAAGACGTGTTTATAGACTATAGTACTATAGTAATAATAATCTCTTTTTTTTCATTACATAGGGGATACAGTTTTTAAAAATCCATCACTGCTTTTAACATTAAGCTGCACCTCAAAGACACACACACCTTCTCGGGTCTGGTGGTGCTTGAAGGCCATCGATGAGTGGATCTCCCCCGCATGCATGCCCATCCCGCCGCCCGAGTGGGACAGGGCCTGGCTCTGCGGCTGCCAGTGGTGGTGTCCGGCGGCCACATAGCCGCCCGCCGACCCGCTGTACACACCGTACTGGTTGGTGGGAGAGTAAGCACACGCCGAGACATAGCCGGACAACGTGGAGGAAGGCTGCAGGCAAACAGATAGGACAGAATAAGCACAAACCGCCTCACTCCCCTGATGACTGTATGTGACAGTGTGGCCAACAGCAGTGATCCATAAAGATGGGGTCAAAGTGGTTTAGAGCTGGAGGGAAACAAAATGAGGAACAGCCTACACGGAGAGTCATTCTATTCTAATTTACCATGAATAAGACTAATTAGAGTTCATATAGAAATAAAGCTCCTCTAAGCCTTAATACAGAAACACGTATTTAATCAGAGGTAATAAAACTCTCATGAGACAGAGCTTATCTAACAGAGGTATGTGGCCTGACGTGACTTCTGTTTGAGGGTCTCTGATATGGAAACTTTTCACAGCTCTGCCACGAGAGCAATTATTGACTTCAGGCCTCAGCCCACATTGGCACCAAACATTTGGACTGTTTCCAATAAAGAAGAGAAAATGGCGTGGATACAGCAATGTGCAGTGTTCGTATAGAAACGTTGCAGGCAAAACAAATGTTCAAAGTTTTATTATCATTATCATTTTATTATTACCTGAGCGTATTTTATGTCGGCGTCAATGGCTGACTTGTCGATCCCGTTGACCGTGTGAGCCGCTGGGAAAGCTGCTCTGTTGACGCTACTCCACTCCTCCATTTTTGGTGGATATCCCTCCGTCCCAGCAATGGCTGATTCAGAAACAGTAACTCCATGTCAAACATGTATACAACGTAAAATGGATAAAATGTTTGAGTGTGTGGGGGGGAGGAAACAGTGCCGGCCCTTTTTAGATTGATAATAAATTATGAACAATTTACCAATTTTAAAATCATTACGCATTGATGTCCTGAGCTATTAAATATATTGCATTTTCACAATATAATGTTATGAGTCACTAAAGCAAATATAATATTTAAAATATATATTTTTTTGTTAGAATTATAACAATAATGTAGGTGCATAATTGCTTATTATGCTTGTGAATTAGAAAATTAGGCCTGAGTTTTAACTTCAGAAAAAGAAAATAGGTTAAAAGCACTACATTAAATGTATTATATAATATAATGTATTATTATTTTATTTAATAATTTATAATTATACTTGTGCAGGCGTATTATGTCCAATATTACCTTTAACATTTTATTGTCACATGTTTGCATGAAATTAGTGAACAAGTGAAATATAAGCCATACCTCCACAAAGATAAGATTAAAGTGTCGACCTATTTAAATAATAAAAATATATTATTTTGTTACATATTAGTACATGATTACAATTTCTATAATAAAAATACACTGGGCCTTGTGGCACAAATTTTGAATGGCCCATGGCGACTTAACAGTGACTTCAACAATTGTATACACTTGATAAAAACAGCGTGTAAAGATCAGAATGGCAAAGAGAAAATGGCTGTAAAAACTAGTTGAAGGATTAGAGGGATATAGCAGGTGAGCAAGGTGTTTGCTGACGCTTCATCCCATGAAAAGGCCCATTGACAGTGGCCTTATGCCTTCTGGCTAAATACTGAAACGAAGGCCTGTATTACTTCCAATGGGCATATTGTTCCTCCTGGAGCCAGGAGAGGTTGTGTGGAGTGAAATTCATCATGAAGAATAGGACAGTAATAACCAGCTTCAGGGATTTATTCAGATCTAAATTGAAAACTATGGGAGCTGCGGGTTTGCATGTTTGGCACAGAGACTCAGAGGCCTTAGATTTCTCACAGAGCACATAATGGCTGTGTTTTCCTCACCTGAAGGATCCATGAAGGCTCGTATGCCGAGGATGTTGCTGACGGTGTGCGCAGAAGGCCAGGCCCTGGATAAGCTCATATGCCCGGCCGTCACCGGTACTCCTGGAGGGCTGCTCATCTTTGGCGACATGGTGTTGGGGTAGGAATAAGGGTATATGTGGTTGTAGGAGAGGCCGGCCTGCGAGGACGCTTGCTTGCCGCCCTCGTACTGGTTGGGCTGCGAGAGATTCCCAATTTTGTTGCGTAAAATCCTGCTGATCGAACTCACCGACGGGACATTGTACTTGTCACAAACTCCGTCTGCCAAAAGCCTGTCCCGGATCTCCCACGCAAAGATCCCGGGGTCGTTTTGTTTGTATTCCCTGATATTCTTCACCACGTTAGGCGTCGTGACGCGCGGTTTGCTCCCGCCGATGGCACCGGGTAAGATGGAGCCCGTCTCGTTGTATCTCGCCAAAATCTTGCTCACGCAGCCGTGCGAGACTCGGAGCTGCCTGCTGATGTCGCAGGGCCTGATCCCGAGCTGAGCCAGCTCCACGATTCTCAACCGTATGGCGTTGGGCAGGGGTCGTCCATTGACGAACACGCCACCTAACTGGTTCACCTCTCCATAGGTTTGCTCTGCAGGAGAACAGATATTTGAAATGAGTAAACAAATAAATAAAATAAATAAATATCAAATTGTCCATGCACTCGTGACCTGACAAAAATATATTTTCATTAAGCAACTGCAAAGTCAGCCACAATGTGCTCCTGGTTTGCAACTTAAATTGCGGGTATTATGTTGTTCAACACGTGCCAGCCTATACACAAGATAGCAACCTTTGTTTTTCCACTTTACACTAGTGTGTAAAGTGTGTGTGCTGGGTTTACCCTCCACCATTCCTGCGTACATAAAAACAACATAAAAAATGGCGAGCTTGAGGAATACACACCGGGAGCTCTTCAAAGAAACGCTGCACATAAGATAATTGTTGGTGTGTTTCCATAAGATTTAAGGCTTTACGCAGACAGCAGTCTCTGCTGAGTAGAGCAGGGAAAAACTCGATCATGAGATAAACTTGACAGACTGTCGCCGAAAGATCTTCTTCATTTGCACACAATGTGAACTTGGGGAGAAAAGGAAACACTAAACTGTTTTTACGCAGACACGTTTAGTCTGGATACGCTTCCATAAGCCCCCTGTCACTGAAGCATGCAGATGGTAACCCGGGCTTACCCATTTGCCAATGTGTTTCGAGATGCTGGGAGAATGTAGGTGCCCCTTCGAATGGCTTAATGCGTCCGAGAGAAGGCTGAGAAGGAAGGGGAACTTGTGGAGTGAGCCCCAGAGGAGGAACACGAGACCTCCCGAAATCTCTTCCCACTGCAGCGTAGCCCCTTCTGTTTTTTTTCTTTTTGAAAGCAAGTGAGAGGTACACAGCGGCGCCGAAGTGATCTTCATCCGATAAAAGCAAATTGAAGTTGTCCCGGGGAGTCCGGGAGTTTGCTGGAATTAATTTGACGCTTACTCCACGTCAATCTTCGCTGTTATACGCGGAGCCCGTGCCTCGGTCTCATTGGTCGTCCTGTGCTGGAAACAGCTGTCAGCCAATGCAAACCCCATCCGGTTGGAGCCGTGCTGCCCCCTTGATATATTTTTGCATAGGGGGAAGTGGCAGAAAGGGAAGCCTTTAATCCAATGTGCAGCCTTCTGGCGAGGACTGTGTGCATCAGGAGAAACGCACAAGGATGACAGAAGAGAGTTGCTCATGTTTTCAGCTCTAAATGAAACCCCAACCACTTTATTTACAGCTGACATAGAAATACTTCAGTGAGTTTGAAATGCAGTAGCATTAATTTGACATAATTATTCAGTGAGAAGATATTACAAATAAATTGCACCAGTCACTGCAGCAAAGCTCTTTCATATTCATGCGTAATCAAATTTTTACGCATGAAATGTGGGTGAGCTTGTGGCGTGTGGTGTACCTTGTACATAAAGTCAATAGTTGTGCACAACACAGTGAATTTAAGGGCATGAATGGTTCATGCTTCTAAAGGGCATTTTGAAAATAAGATTAATGCTACAGAAATGACCCAGCTTTGGAAGATACACGGTGCCATCTTTGGCTAAATAGTTTACATGCAAATCCTATAAAAAATATGTATTTTCCCTTAAGTGACTATTTTTTTAAGCAGTTCTGTTTAGTCACAACACCATTTTTACCCAAATGGATTTATATTTCTGCATTTAGAGTGATGCTGGGGATGATGCGTAATTGAGTGATTTGACGATCAGAGCAGGAGACATGCACACTGCCAGCCCGAGTCTATTTCGTATAAGCCGGTGTGAGAGCATCAAACACGAGGAGGGCCTCGTGTAATCGATACCTCTGTGGATCGCTGCGCTCCCAGACTATGGGCCATATCGACTGGATTCCAGAGACGCGCATTATCACAGCATGTTTTGCGGAGTTTCCTGTGCAAGTTTAGAAGGTATCGTTTATACGCTCGCAAAACGTCACTTGTAAAAAGTTAACAGTCGACCCAATGGTAACAAGGTGCAGTGTCCTGAACCCCCCCCCCCTTCTCCCTCTCTATACCACCACCACCCCAGCACACCCCTCTCTGTCTCGCGGCCACTCCACCACCCAGACCTGGGAGCTGCAGGACACATGGAAAGCATCAGGTTTGGTCAGAGGAGTTTTCAGGTCGTCTTAAAGTTGGATGATGATCTTTTTTTATTGACAGAATAAATGGATCCTGTTTGCACGCAGGATGTCAATGCAGGAGGGCGTGATCTTATCTGATGCTGCTGAGCATGAACCATTGATTTCACATTACCCTTCCTTTTACTCTCTCTCTCTCTCTCTCTGTTTGTGTCAGTGTCGCTCACTCCCTCTCTTGCTTGTGTACCTCTCCTCTCTGGCCTTCATGGCTGCCAGGACTCCCCTCATCTGGACAACTCTGGAATTACATGGTTTGGTCAGCACCCTGTCTCCCGCCTCTGAATTACGCGCTATATGTTGGAGGTAGGTAATGTTTCCATGTTAACATGTTTCCAATGCGAGAGATTAACTATTTAATTGCTCGTAACGAGAATTAGATTGAAAAAAATGTGTTGATTTACTTACATTAAATTAACAATTTTCATTCGCTATCAAACCCTGTCACTCATAATGAACCTTGCTCTTTTATACTTCTGCATGTTTTGAATACAAATATTTTATTAACATTCTTTTTTGTTAATGTAGCCTATTTGCCTCTTATACCTGCACTCTCCTTTGCAGGGTTGATAGATTAAAATTTTCAAAAATGAGCACAGCCTTTCGCTTATGACCAAGACATATTTTTATTTCAGATGCTTCAAAAGCAAAAATGTGCTTTGCAGCAGATTCGTTTTTCTTGAGCTCAGGCAGAAATAAACAGAATTAATCCAGCGGTATTTTGGTTTTACTATTCGAGTCCTGATATATTTATCAAACTCTTTTTATAATTTGTTTTATATAAACTGTATTTTGACGGTATATATTTTTTTATTGCAGGATGATGGGGATATTAGAATAAAATAATTCTGAATAATCTACGGGGTTAGAAGAGACTATAGAGCCGTTATAGATTCTGTGCACATCAGGTGAGACTTTGCAACTGTCTCCTCGGGTTTGTCATGTGTGACCAAACAACAACATTGTTTGAACGGTTCCCCTCATTCTCCAGGATGCAAAGTGTATTCACACAATATGAGCCCACATAAATACACTGCCACACAAACACAACACACAGCAGTATTTCTGTTTAAATGTAAAAGAGGGTGATTCCATTAATCGCTGACGTTTTCATCAGGGAGGCATGCTCTTCTTTCTCTTTTCTTTGAGGTGCAGGTTGATCAGGTCACTTCTGAACAACATGTCTGAATACATGTTTATTTTCTGACCACATCTCACACGAAACCTCATTATTTACTCTGATTATTGGACACGTTTATTTAGCCTTTTTATTTCGTGTTCCTGTGGTGGTTGTGTTGTCTAATGATCATAGATTACAGGTCTTATTTACTAGCTGGTTAAATTTTAAAGCTGAGAGAAGTTAATTTTTCTCTCTTTCATTAATAATAGTTATTCCTTGTCCCAAAATTCGAGTGCATGGATTATATATTTATTTTTGGTCAATCTGAATAATTCACGTAATGCCTCCTCTGAGTTCAAGCACAACATACTTTGTCGTGTATTTAAAAATATACAAAAATTATACAATTAAAATATACTAAATATACTAATTGATCTAGTTATAATATTAAATTATGCTTACTTCAGTTAGATGCTTTTTTGTATTGACGCAAGTGAAATATAAGGTTTTTCACTTCGTTTGGTCCTTGGCAAAGGTTTTCTTTCAAATGTAAATGTTGTTTCCTTATTGGTGCTCTGTCGTATAAGATAATATTTATACTTTGAGACAAATAGACAGAGGTCCTCAAGTCTCTTTTAAGATCACACACACGCACACGCATGCAAGCGCGCACACACACACACACACACACACACACACACACACACACACACACAACCATACATTAACTCATGCGATCGACACCTGATACTCGCAAGGTGCAACGACCCCCGTCGGTAAATATTGATGTTGGTTTTAAGTGTCATCACAGGATTCACTTCCTCAAGTGTGATTTGTCTTTAAAGACTTAGGGAGAATTTAAAGGCTCGATTTCTCATTGTCCGTGTGTGTGTGTGTGTGTGTGTTTGCTAGAAATGATTATTCTAGTGATGCGTCAGGTGGAGTTACTGATATTTTCTTCATCAATTGCTTTGCAATTTAAATAGCTGGAATCAATAAATGATTGTGTGTGTGTGTTAATAATAGAATCACTGGCTTCTTGCACTGTTTATACTAAATTTGTAAAATATGCAGTAGCAGTAATGACAGTTTGCAGCAATTTGAACAAAGTCTTCTTGTCTCTCATTGGTTTAACACGATAATCATGTCCAGATAAACGTGTCTTTGCCATTATTTAACAAGAGACAGATATTTTTCTTTTGACATGGCTTCAATTTTCTTTTCACAAATGAGTGAACCGTTTGTTTGTGAGTTAAGTGATGTCAGGGCTCAGTGTGGAAATTATAATGCAAGGTCCAGATCTGCATGTATGTAGCACACCGGGACCAAAATGAGTCTATAAGTCTTATATTTCCATTACAGCACCAAAACAGTGCAGGTAAAAGCAAACTATATGCATTCGTGGCTGCTCCAGTGCAAACAAATGCAATTACTAAAAGTATGCAGCAGCGAATAAGGCCCTTGCCCATTTTTGTCTTTCATTTTTTATTCTAATAAAACCCATAAATTAAACCTTAAAGTTTCCCATGTTGTCTGAAAGTTAATAAACCCTTCATTATGAGAAAAGAGGAGGGGGGTGATCATTGTTTATCCAGTTCAGAGCCAACCTAGCACAACCTAGCACAACCTGTAGGCCAAAGACACACACTGATTCTGGTTCACACACACACACACACACACACACACCCTCTTCTACAAAAACGGTTTGTCCGCTCCTATCTGATCCAGAGGTGGTGATGTGTAGTCTCTTTGTGCTCCTGCCGCTGAGGTTCTACTAAAAAAGGAGGCTTGGATGCCAGGGACCTCAGTTCTTTTATAGCGACAGGAGCCACTGTGAGCTACAGAACACGCCTAATGAGGGCATGCAGCCGAGCCATGTGAGACACGCCAGCTTTTTACCAGGCTGGGTAATAGCTTGTGACCTTCACTGAACACACCTTGTGTGTCTTCATGTACCGAGCATGTACCTCTAATTGTTGCAATGAGGGAGACACATGAGGGTTTTGTCTGTACTTTGATTCTTTTTGGAGGAAAGGACAAATAATTAAACTATTCTTAATCTTCAACAGACAGGAAGTATTTGCCATTTGAGTTTTTTATGAAATGGGAAATACATACTTGACATACAAGCAGTTATTACATCTAAAAGAATATTATTGCTGGTAAAACGTTACAGTTAGTATAAACATCTATTTCTCCATCATTTACCCATTACAATAGCACGTCATCCGACAAAAAACCTACTGGTTTCACTTTGTTTTAGATTCATTCCATTGAACGTCCTTGGGAACTCATGACACATTTGTTGTGTGTTGGGGACGATTCTGGTTCTAATTTAAAGTGGAAACATGTTTTGGAAAATAAAACAAACTGTTTTCTTTCTGCTGCTGTGACTCAAGAAACTGTCATCGCAAAATATGAACAGCAGACGTGTGTGTTAGGATTCAGAGTCTCATCTCTGAGGTGGCATTATAAGGATTTAGGGTCCTTTTTACTGATGGAGACTCCCTGTGAGCTCTTAATGCAGTTTGTGTTTGTTTGTCACTTCTTTGGAAACGCTTACAATTTGACTTTGGATGAGCATTCTCTCTTATTAATTGACCAAGAGGATCAATGATCAAACATCCGTCCACACTGGCAT